ACAGCGTTGAGGGTGCTGCTTTTGGCATTGTGAGTTACCATGGATGGTGTTGGTCGTCATGATAAATTCAGACGGTCGCTCACTATATTCGTTCTGTTCTAATCCATTGGTCTCAAAGTGACGTTCTTCAGATGTTTTTCTTGGTCCAATCTTAGCTTTGAAATCTCCAATAATGACCTCGATAGAACTTCTCCAAGTCCATGTAGAATGCTTCGACTTCTTCTTCGTCATAATTTGGTGTCGGCGCGTAAACGACGAAGATTGTCAAAGGCGGCATTGATCCACATCTTTTTAATCGTAAACGTCCGATTCGGGTTGTAAGTTGTTCGAATGCATAGATGTTCATGGACAAACTCTTGTTGACGAGAACGCCGATGCCGCCGACTTCTTCATTGTCGCATCTTCCGAGGAACAGTTCTTCTTCGGTGCCATAGGTGGCGTTGATTTGGTTGCGCCTTCTCGTCTCGGCCAGGCTGATTACTTTATGCCTAATCCTTCCTGCTTGCATGTGCAAGTCTTCTATCGAGGACTCGATTGCAAATGCATGTGCATCGCAGGTACAGTTCGTCACCTTAGTTCTTTGCGGTCCAAGAAGTTTCCATCGGCCTTAAGATTTTAGCAGCTTCACCCTACTCATCCTATTCAACGCTGCCGAACTGCGTGCTTTTTCGGAGTTTCTTTTACTGTGTTCAGCTTTTTAATACAAAGTATAGCTTGCTGAACTTCGAACCTGAGGGCTGTTTGTACCCACGGGTAGCTTTCCAGGCTCTCTCAGAGTAGAGATGGTGCTCATTTCTTGGAGGCTGCTCAGAATCGCCTGCCATATACTTTCTTGTCACTTGATTGCAGGCTTTCAAGTGAATTGACTCGCAGAATGCAATCCGCTCAAGGGAAAGCGCCCCACACGCGCATGTCTGAATACGCTCCTCAAATACAGAAAGTATCTGCCACATCGGCGCAGTAAAAACAGGGAGTCCATCGCCTGGATCCACCTGCTTCTTGGAAAAATACGTGGTCGCTTTTGCTCCTGGATTAACCCCCCATCCTCCACCGGGGACGCGCCACGTAGCTCCGATTAACCCGCTCGAGATCCCTCATGTGAGAGATCCGTGATTCCCACGGTATGATCCGGAAATTTGCTTCAAAATCATTGCCACCTGCTTTTGTGCCCCATGTGTACCCAGAGAAGCCCTTTCACGAATTTTGACTTTCCAATTTCCTCATTATCGCATGCCTTACATAAGATCATATTGTATCTGAACTCATATAAACCCCGTCTCTCCCGTCAGGGCTGATCATACAGTTTTCCCAGCTGCACAAACAATCATGGAGGCGGCCGCGAACTAATTGACTGCGCATTGTATTCGGTGAAAGGCCAACAATCGCCAGATAATTTTCAAGAGCACTTTTCATTGGGCGCTTTTTAACGATGCAACTTATCCCGGTTTAAATTAATTGCATCTTAAAAGAGATTTTATTTAGGTTCGAAACATTTTTTTGGCAATAGTTTTACCTTTCTGTCTGACCCGAGTATCTTCTGCTTCGAAGCCATTGGAAATGGCTATTTTTTGTGCCGGATTTAGTGGTTCCTTCCTTTCCTCTTCGCCTGTGCACGCATTTTCAGCCGTTCAGAACAAGCTTTTGATGAGTTTTTTTCCATATATGAAGGATGAGAAGAAAGGTAGCGAAGTAGTCTATTTTTACCGACTGTCATACGATACCGTATTGTTATTCCCCCCACATTTTTATATGTTGTCAAAAATTAAATTTTTTTTGCCAATTTTGAGTTTCGCAATCTTGGTTGTCAAAAACGGATTTTCGTAAATTTTCTTTTACGAGTTCAAACTCGGTAGCAGTGCAGCAGAGACCACTCGAAACATCAATGAAGCTTGGGGTGAAGGTAGTATTGGTGAATAAACTGTGCGAACATGGTTCCCGAAATTGCGACCTGGTGATTTCGACCTCGAAGATAAGAGCGACCGCGAACGTCTCAGTGAACATTACACCGACGAAATGGTTGCACTAGTGGAAAGAAACACGCAAGCGACTGTTTGAGGGCTTGCAGAACGGCTTGGCGTAAGCAAGGAACAATTTCAACCTACTTGAATCCTTGGGGAATACAAAAGAGCTCGACAAGTGTGTGCGGTATACCAAAGTCGATATTACACCAAAAAACGGTTACAGAGATTGTTTGGCGGTCTGCAGCAGGCTAATTCATCACGGCTTTTTGAATCCGGGCAAAAGGATAACAGCAAAAAAGTAATTGTAAACAAATCAACAAAATGCACCGTAAACTCCAACAAGTAGCGGCATTATTCAATAGAAAACGACCAATCCTTCTCCACGGCAACACCCGGCTTCAGCTTGCCGAACCAGCGCTAGAGAAGTTGAACGGGTTGGGCTACGAAATTTTTCCTTATTCACCGTATTATATTTTAACTAAGAGCAAACTCTTTTTGCTAAATTAATAACCGTTAAAATTTACGCATTCTTGCTAATGAAAAGCAAGTTTCTTTGTGCTAGATCATTTAAGTACTGAACTTCTATAGGCGACGAAGCCATTTGAGGCACTTTGCGCTAATCTTGGTTTATGAAGTATTCCCGCATGAGAAGTTATCGAATTGTATGAACAACAGCTATTTGGTAGTTGATAAGACTGTAGAATATGGAGAATGAGGCAGAGTTTCGTAACACAGGTTGTTCAACTTTTGTGGGGTCGGTTGTGCGAAGTGTGGCTGCGTGTTATTGTGGAGGATTGGCTCCTTTCCGCCAACCAGTGCGAGGTGCAACGATCGGGCATTCCGGAAAACTTTTTCGATTTCCTGCACGTACTTCGCTGCTGTAAGGAGGAGGAGAGAGCACGGTGGTAGTGATGGCGGTCGTCATGAGCATGGGGTAGTCCGAGCCCGCTCCGGGCCAACCAGGTCTTTCATCTCTTCGTGGTCGGGGAAATTGACACTGGACATGTCCGGGAAGAAAACCACTCTCTGCAATCTAATTGAAAACGCTCCATTCCCGCTATATCAAAGATCGAGATAGAATCGACTCGACTTCCATTCCACTACCACTACATTCAAGACGAAAAGAATATCCTCAAGCCGAGACCACACGTAGAAGATGGAAGATCCTCGTAAATAATGGATGCGGCGAAACGATTGGAATGTTAGAAGTGTTGGAAACTTCAAAGTAGACGTGAAGAAAGGTCATATAAAAATAAAAAATAGAAAATTTTTTGCTGTCACTGTCTCACTTAAACATAGGGATGTCTCTGGTTTTCACTCAATTCGTGCGACACCCATTAGTCGAGTTCCATCGATTTACGATTTGCTTTAGATTCCTGATATTGCTCTATGTGTATGTATGTATGTATGTATGTATGTATGTTTGTATGTATGTATGTGTGTTTGCCTACAGAAAAACATTAAACTGACGGCTTTCAATAGCAAGACATGGATAACCTTCATGACCTCCCTCAAATTCGCTGAGGTGAATTTTCCAAACATACATTGCACTGCACCTTCGTTAACACTTTATTAACTCCACATCTCGTCACTTCTTCGAGCCCTTTGGGCAGGGCTATTTCGAGGTTCAATTCGATAGAATACGAAGTTTAAAAACCTATTGCTAAGCGTATAAAAAAATAAAATTGTGATTTTAACACTAATTGTCGAATAGCCTAATAGTTAATATGCTGTCCGTCCATACGTAATCGTTTAACCGTGATTGTTGGATATTATTTCTGCAACTGACATCATTGCAATGATTTTCGATACTCTTAGTAACAAATAATATAAATGTAGTTGTGGAAAACTCAATTATTGGCATATCACGTTAACGAATGCATATTTAACGTTAGTTCCTCAAACTCCACCTGCTAAGCAGCACTTATCTTCGTAATGACACCCACAGACACTCAAGATCAGGGCTTTGGTCACAACTGTTGATTGCATACAAATCTATTTCCAATAGGAACCGAAGTGTTGGAATTTGCTAGTTCTGTGTACTCTGATTTTCGAGCCATTCTTTTCCATCCTTTTACTTACGTTCCTAATAAAACCAATTCACTGCTGTCTTCACAGGAGCCTTTAAATTTATTTAGGTGTTAGGCAGACCGATGCACCAGATAATGGTAGTTAGCTCAGTGGAGTACACTTTGATGCGTCGGCCGTCAGCATCAAATAATCACTTAATTTGACATAGAATGCTTGTCTTCGTTCCATTTTGTTATTCAGAGCCATTCGTAAAGGTCACGGAACGATTTGGAAAGTTGAGTAAGTGAGCCTTTATGTAATAATACTAATACATAGTAACAATATCATGAGATAAAGAAATGCATTTAGTATGAAGGGTAAGGTAATGGAATCAAAAAGTGAAGATGAAATGATCAGTAAGAAGTTATACTGAAAATAAGAGACTTGCTTCTGTCATAGAATGATGAAGCAGAATGAGGAACAAGCATCGCATGGAATACAGCAATAAAAGTACAGCGAGATTACCACGGTAGAAGGAATATATAGGATTTAAACAGCTTTAAGGTGTCGGTGATTATAGAGAGAATAATATAACACGGAACAGATTGATTCGAGTACAGAAGTACACATTTTTAATTTTAGAATAAAACGTTTCTATGTCATCAGTACTGGAATACACTTAAAGATGTTTGCTAATACTACTGATAAATAGTCAGTTACCTAGAAATGGTAGAATTAGATTCTTCTTCTCCATCACCGGTGCACTCATCTCCTGCTAATCTTTCCGGTGTAGAAGAAAACATTCTTTCGCCAAGCGATTGATCTCTATCATATGAAATAAATACACAGAAGCATTAAATTCGCGTCAGCGAACAGCAACTTATCATTGGCGTTCATTTCCTTAAGCGCTTCATTGCACCTTTTCCACAACGATGCAGTGTAGTGAGCGCATTGTCTAGTATGAGATTGCTTACTTTCCAGTACTTTTACTTTCCATCATCCTATCCTGTTTCCCGTCATAGCGAACACTCAGAAACTTCGTGCAAACTTCACGTATTCGTCTTCGGTGTATGGGTCGATCATTCCAAGGCGATACAGCATCTCATAACGATCAGCATCACTCGCCACTGAGCAGGAAGCCTCAGCAAGGAGTTTTGCCTTAAACTTAGGAAATTAAACAAGCAAGAATAAATCCTAGTTACCGTAGTCCCAATTCTAATCCTAACTTTAAAAAAACACTAAAAGTACCTCTCGAATTCTTGAAAAACACCACATGCTTTCCACCGAAAGATAATCATAGTTCACCCTGAAAATACCGTCAATGGATCACAGAGGTAGAGAAAGCATAGCAATTTTGAGGAAAATGAGGGAAGATAATTAGAAAAATGGTTAAAAGAAGACAGGCGGACAAAAAATAAAGGAAAACTAGTATTCGGTTATAAACTACATCAACTCACCGCAAGTCCATCCATTGAAAATGGTATATTCATGGAATATATTGCTCTTTTTCCAACGTTGTTTCGTTGACGTGAATAAATTGAGGATTAATTACGGTAGTTGATGAAGACGACATTGATGTATATTCACTTGTTTCAAGAGATGGTGTTTAAGTCTCCTCAATTGCGACTCCTGGCCCTTCTGAGTAAGAAGATCTGCGGATGAATCAATTAGTGTACTGTTTAAATCTCCAAACAGTGCTCTATCAAAATCATCATATGAACTGTTAACGCTTGTGGAAACACTCTTTTGGTAACCGTATTTCCTTTCTCTTGGTCGTTGGAATTCGCAACTGTAGCATTTCGTTACGGAAGCACCAATCCTGAATGTCGAGTGTTTGGCAGTTTCCGCCCAAATGATGCGCAAGTTTTACCAGCGTATTAAGACGTCATTGCGACATTTCATGCTGCTCACAGAGACTGAAGTACTCTTCGACTAGCATCGACACAGTGTTGTCCCTGAGAACCTTATTACTTCTCAATAGAAAGGATTCCCAGCTCTCTTCGACAGAAACCCGTTGTGAACTGCTCTTTTAAATCATTCCTCCACTCATCTTCTACTAATCTTTTCGGTGTTGAAGAATTTATTCTTTCATTCATACGACTGATCTCCACTATACGAAATACATCCACTGCGTATCGCTGCGCGTAGTGCGCTTAGGAAAGAACTAATCGAACATTGGAAAAGATCCATTGTTGTCCTCGACTGTCATGAAATTGGCGTCGGTGAACAGTGACAAATTATTGGCGCTTATTTCTCTAAGTGCTTCATTGAATCTGTATCCACAAGGATGCAGTGAAGTGAGCGCATACAACAGTTCGCTCACTCTCGAGTGTTTTTCAGTTTCCATCATTCTCGACTACATCATATCGAATGTTAGGAAACTTCCTTCAAGTTTAATACGTTTGTCATCGGTGCATGGGACGATCATCCCAGATTGATACAGCAGTTCATCGCGATAAGTATTGCCATTAATTTTTACAGGTGTATCTTGTGATAGCCTTGAATGGGAAAATGAATCTTGAAGAATTTTTTTTCATTGTTGACGTTTTACTCTGCTCAACCGCGACTCCAAGCCTTTCTGATTCAGAAGAACAGCGGATGAATCAATTAGCGTGCTGCTTGCATCATCAAACACTGCTAAATCAAATCCTTCATGTGGACTGTTAATGCTTGAGGAAACATATTGCAATCGTAATTCTCTTCCTCTATAGTTTGCAGTCACAACTGCAGCACTTCGTTTCGGAAACTCCATTCTTGAATGTCGACTGTTCGGCTGAATCCGATTTAATGATGCCGAAGACACTCTTCGCCAAGTATCGACACATGGTTGTCCGTGAGAATCTTATTGCTTCTCAATAGATAAGATTCGCAGCGATTTTGACAGATTCCTGTTGTGAAATTGACAGGCTTGTGTTCGGCGCTACCTGCCTGGCAGCAGGCACAGTGAACCTGAATCATTGGAAAAATTGGCTAAACACAGATAGGTGGACAATAAATAGAGATAAATTGATGTTTGTTTAAAGCCCACATTTACGTCCATTCAGGACCTTTAGTTAGCAAGTAAAACAGAATAAAAGAGTAATTGTTTGAAAGAAGAAAAGGATCGTACGCGTCACTTGGTCCCCACTGCGAAGAACAATGAAATCTGCCTTTCTTTTTTACCCCATAATACTTTCTGCACTTCTCTGCTCTACATTTGAACAGGGACCACTGAAACACTACTTCTGCTTCCAGCATATTTTGCCTGGAAACGCGTACAATCTACTTCATATACTCTTCGACTCAGCCGCTCTGCCACTACGACGATGCCCTAGTAAGGAATGTTCAAAGCCAGATTCAGCAGCAGTGTTTATAAACTAAGCTTACATCTAACCTCAACCACATTTACTTTAAATTATGCCATGCTATCTCACTATCAAACCGAACCGTTAGTAAAACGCTTGTTAAAGATTTGAAATTTTAGCGACATAAGGTTAAACGATCCCATTATAACAGTAGCATTTTAAAAAATTCATGCTTGCTTCATTCGCTCATTTTACATCAGTTCTTGAAAAGTGGTGCTTTTTTGCGATATAATTACGCAATAACCATAAACTCTTCCTCTTCATCGTCATCACCGAGCGGTGTCCATTGAGAAGGAGTTCGGCCATGGTGCATTCAAGATGTCTACGAATGGATTCTTAAGAAAAAGCCGATCGAGCATTGGAAAACATGGGTTCGCATTTAATTTTGAATCGCTGCGGCGAATAATAAAAAAAGAATTTCAAAATACCGGCACCAATGCGCTGTCTAGCAGATTTTAATAATACCTAATAAACAGTGTCGTGTTACTCACAGGTGATATCAAACATACGGTGTTTTGACTCTCACTGCAAAAGCGAACCCTTACTTCGCTAACAACGAGAGCTCTCCGAGACGCTGAACTCGGCATGATGTTCTTTCAAGAACTTGGCTGAGTTCAGCGCTCATATCTCGTCGCACCGCCGCGTAGTGATTGTTGCCTAAAACTATAGTAATTAAGGTAAAACAGTAGCATGAATCTCCCTAGATACTCCCAGAGCTATAAAACAAGTCCCCACTGCAATTCTACCATATTGCCAACGCCCTAACTCTCAGTTATCGTAATCCTAATTCTAGTCCTAACTCCGAAAACACTTAAAGTACCTCCCGTTTTCTTGAAAAACATCAAATGCTTCCGTTCGAAAGGTATTTCTCGTTTACACTGAAAATATATCACATCCTTCCTTCATTAACTCATCAAAAACTCCACAATATCACGCAGTAGTGACACATTACTGCTTCAGAGGTGGTTGAAAAAAAAGCATATTGATCATACGCAACACAAAACGAACCCATAAACGTTAAGCGTGTTAGGCAAAAGCGACCAAGAAATATTATGATATAAAATTAAGGCATTCAATAGGGAAAAGATGACTTGAAAAGCACTCAACAAGTATGAGCACTTAAACACTTTAATACGTAGTACTAGAATTCAAACACTATTTATATGCTAATCGAATGATGTGAAAAGGAAACTAGCGTATTGCAGTAGAATAAGCAACCTGTACCATTTGTCTGAAAACAAATTCTATCCGGATGACACCTGTATCACCTGTAGTCCCGTTGATTGTCGAGTGACTCGAGCGGGCGCCAGTAAATCTTTCATTTTTCCCTGTCACGTGCAAGAGTAACTTAGTGGATTCTGCTCGCTCTAGGAGCTCGTTGAGCATCATATCTTCCCTCTAGGCTTTTCGGGAAAAACTCTGACCATCGGGTTTGTGGTATTATTGCAGTGCGTTTAATATCCCGAGAAAACCAGTAACTAACGCCTCTTGTCTATCGGTAGACACTCATCGCATTACGTGTCCGGCCCACCTTATCTTGGACTGTTTGGCGTACAGAACGTCACCTTTGATTTTTGATCGTTGATGTAGGTCGGAGCTTCGGATACATCACTTACTTGTGTGGAACAAGATACTCCTAGCACTGTCCTTTCGACTACGCGTTTAATAACGGTAATTGACCTTTCAACCTGCTTACGCAGCGACCAGGTTTTTGAAGCATACGTTTGGGCAGGAAGTACCGTTGAGTCGAAATTGCAGGCACGGAGTCGGGTGTCCTTTTTCCTCTTCACTACAACCTCGATGCTCTTGAAAGCACCCCAAGCCCCTCGTTTTCTTCTGCTCAGCCCTGGAGCTAGGTCGTTCATCATATTGATTTCCCAACAATAGATGTAACTGGAGCATTCGGAGATATTCGTTCCTGTGAGCGTGAATGGCGCATGCAAAACCAATCCGTTCTTCATGAACATCGTTTTTGTGAGACTTAGCCGAAGACCAATCATTCTACAGGCTTTATCAAATTCGGCGAGCATACTTTTCGATTGGCTAATATTTGGTGTTATAAGGACGATGTGATCAGCAAACCGAAGATGGTGTAACTGCCGACCATCGATTTTCACTGCCATATTATCTCATTCCAATGATCGCATGACGTTCTGGAGGGTGGGGCTAAATAATTTTAGCGAGATAGTATCGCCTTGCTTAGCTCCTCTTTTGACGTCAATGTTAATATCGTTGTAGGAAAGTGATATCTTGGCTGTGAAATTTTTGTACAGCTTACGAAGAATCTTTATGTACTGAGTAGGGACTCCTTAACTATCACGAGCTTCTGAGACTGCTTCCATCTCAACTGAATCAAAGGCCTTCTGTAAATTGATGAAAGTGAGACAGTGCGGTCTTCTGTACTTTCGCGATGCTTCAATGAGTCTTGTTATCGTGTGGATGTGGTCCATCGTACTAAATCCTCTTCGAAACCCTGCTTGCTCATATGGCTGTCCTTCGTCTAGCGTTCTGTCAATGCTGATTAGGATGACTCGAGTGAAAAGTTTGTAGACGACAGACAGCAAGCATATTGGGCGATTGCTGCCGATATCGTGCAGGCCACCCTTCTTAAACAATAGCACGGTCTTGATGGTCTTCCATTAAATAGAGACCTTTCATTTGGATAGCTAACGTGCGAAGAGCTGAGCCAGTGTGTTTACGAGGACTGGTGGAAAGTTCTTTAGGTGTTCTGGTCTTAACCTGTCCGGAACCGGTGCTGTTCGATCTTTCACCGACTAAATGCCACGTCGGATTTCGGAAGGGAGTACCGGTGGTACAACATATCCATACTCCTTTATTTTATATGACGGAAGGTGGACGTGGTTATCGTAGAGATCCGAGCAGTATTCGTGAATGATATTCTCCATTGCCTTTTTGAGCGCTGTTACTGTTCCGTCTGGGTACCGGAGAGCAATCATTTTGGTCTTGTAATTGGCGAAGCTTCGGTGGACTTTGCGAATGCTCTTCCCAGCCTTTGCAGATTTGGCAATTATTGCTGCTCTTCTCTCTCTAAGACCTTTTATCGCCTGTCTGCAATGTTTTGCAAGCTCGGACGTTAGTTCGCGGTTGCCTGCAGCTCGTCCGATACCACGCTGGCGTTTCAGCTCGAATGTTTCCGGAGACAGACGTCTTTTGGTGACCTTCGAACTCTCAGATTTTACAGCGTTAACGTGAAGATGTTGAATGAGCCGCTCGTATTCTTTCTCGATGTTATCGACAACGCTATCTTTCCAACAGCCGACTAATAAATTGAATAAGTCCCAGTTTACGGTGGCTCTGGGTCTTCGGTTTTTGAATTTAGCGGCTTTTTCTCCTTTCCGCTATAAATAGAACCTTGCACAAAGGAGACGATAGTCTGATCCCGTGTAGAATTTTGGGACAACAGCGACATCAGTTAGGCAAAACCTTCTATTTACTATGATGTGATCTATTTCGTTATGGTCCTGTCCATTGGAGGCTTCCACGTCCAGCGTTGAGGATGGGTTTCTGGAATTGCGTGTTACCATGAATGTTCTTGATCGTCGTGATAAACTCACACATTAGCTCACCTTGCTTGTTCCATTCTAATCCGCATGTCCGTGTCCATGACGTTCTCCAGACGCTCTTCTTGATCCAGTCTTAGCGTTAAAACCTCCAGTGATGATCTTGAAGGACATATCGTCTTCTTGTGGAACCTCTCAAAGTCCATGTAAAACGATTCGATTTTCTCTTCGTCACAGTTTGACATCGGCGCGTGAACGACAAGGATTGTCAAAGCCAGGATTGATCCACTTCTTTTTAATCGTAAACGTCGGGTTGTAAGTTGTTCGAATAAATAGATGTTCATAGACAAACTCGTATTGATGAGAACACCGAAGCCGCCGACTCTTCTACTCTCGCATGTTACGAGGAACAGTAATTTTCCGGTGTCATAGACGGCGTTGAAAAGCTGGCGTCTCCTCGGCTCGGCCAAACCGATGACGTCGTAACTTATGCTTCTTGCTTGCATGAGCAAGTCTTCTATCGAGGACTCGGATGCAAGTGTACGTGCATTGTAGGTACAGATCGTCACCATAGTTCTTTGAAATCCAGGCAGCTTTCATTGGTTCTGAGATTTTAGTAACCTCTCCGTACTCGCCCTACCCAATGCTGTGAAATTGGGGCCTCTTTCGGAGTCAAGGGAATGAGGCCCGTTCTTTTTACTGTATTTAACATTTCGATACCCACGTATAACTTGCTGGGCTTTGAACGTAAGGCTGGATATACTCATGGGTAGCTTGGCAGGCTTTCCCAGAGTTCCCATAGAACTTATTTGTTGGAGGCGACTCCTAACCGCCTCCTATATACTTCCCATTCACTTGATTGCAGGCTTTTGGACCATCTGGCTCGTAGAATACAACCCGCATAAGCAAGAACGCACCCACACACGCATGCATGAATACGTTTAGCAAATGCAGAAAGTATGTGCCAAATCAGCGCAACAGAAACAGGGAGTCCATCCTCTGGATCCACCTGCGTCTCAGGAAAGGAAAGGTTGCTTTTGGTTCACGATTAACCCCCTATCCGCCACGCGGGGACGCGCCACGTAGCCTCGCGACTAACCGGCTCGAGATCCCTCAAATGAGGGTGATCCATGGCATGAGGTAGGCCCGGATGACAATTAGTAATCTGGCACTTCATTGAAACGAAGAACCTGTTCTGAGATAAGGGAGAGGGTTTTGCAAATAGATTTCACAGCCAAGAGAAACCCTCAAATCTTGTGAGGTGGCTAGAAGCTCGACGCCTGGTTTCTCGATTTTTTGATACCAACAGTATACCCAATACTTCGATACATTATCTTTGAGAGGAGGATAAAGTTCTCGATGAGAAACTTTTTTGTGCATGAAGGGGCTCATCCGTTAGCAGTGGTGACCGAGCTGGGAAGGAGTTAGACACTGTCACGTGACGTTTCTCTACGAAAGCCACCTATGAATAAACCAACATCGGGTATCACTAGTACCTTAGAATAAACATTATAATGGTGTAGTAAACCAAACTTTAAACCACAAAATTTCTTCACTGTGTGCTAAACTGGCTAAGATCGAGGCCTCACCTCGTGGGATATTAAGAAAAATTATCTTGGTCTGCAAAAAAAATGCGTGTGAGAAGGGCATTGTGTTCAGCCTTTCACAACCAAGTGAGGTACGGGGTTCCTCTATGGTAATAGATCGCTGACAAAACAATAAAATAAAGGCAAAGTAAGAGCTTCGGTTGTTCCAGCGAATAAGATGTGTGCCTCGCCTTCGCAAGCGGTGATCAGGAGCACCATGTGCACCTAAGGTTCCGAGTTTTGCTTTCCGTCTCAGCACACATGTGGTTTTATTTCATATACTCTGCTTTAATGACAAACGGTGAGAACTTGAGAAGACATGCTTGCAACCAGTGTCAACCATGGCAGTCATCTGCCTTCGTAAATGGAAAAGATTTACGCACTAAGAGGCGTTACTAGTTGAGGTGACGATGCCCGAAACGGACCACAACTTCAAGCGTCACTCACTAACGAATAAAATGAGTGAAGAGTATGTCGCGTTCATACAGTACATGGAGGTGCCAATCCAAGCAACCATGTAGGTTATAATGGAAAACATAGAAAAAAGCTGAAGGATAAAGCTCTCGGCGTCAATCAATCTTTGAAGGATGCGCCATGCATTCGACTTCACCAAACATCGTCAGAGGTAATTGAATGCATATCTGGTCTTTAGAATGAATCACAGTAGCTCATCGATAAATCGAGTCAGTGCTGCTATCCACCTAGACACGCCTGGTGCCAGTTTGCCGACCCTGG